GTGTACTTCATTTAATGCCAAAGATTCAAAGTTAAGATTCCATGAAATATCCCTCTAGGTCTTACACATTTAGTGGTGACCCAGTGATAAGTGCAGCAGTAAAATGGGCCACATCCAGACAACAGAAGCAGAACTGGCTGTGTACTTTTGCAAAATCAGGGATTTTGTTAATATGATATAATCATTATTTCAATTCGCTTATTTGCTGCACTTGACTATGTAGGCCACCAATTAAAGTATTTTCTGATTCAGGTACTGACACAGGAGGGCAGTTTATAATAATCTTGGCAGTCAAAATGGATGCTTTCAGTTCACCTATCTTCTTTCAATTTCCATCAGCTACTGCATCTTGGAAGCAAGCAAGAGGCTGTACAGCAGTAATCGAAGAACCGAGGTATGGTACTTACCACATCAGAGTTGAAATGAGAAGGCCAACGCCCACACAATCTATGAATACGACCCAAAGGAGAAGCTTTATCATCTTAAAAAATCCCATGTCCAGCACAAAGCCAAACCCGACAGTGGACACTGAAAGAAAGATTTACAAGATTCATTCAGGCACTCTGCTGGGTTCCTGGGGTATAGGGCATTACCCTCCAGAAACCCACAGTCCAGTGGGCGAAACAGATATGTAAACCAAACCTATAAGCTCTGTTCTGTGTGGTTAAGAAATGCCTACCACCTTGGGGATGGATGAGCCGCTGAGGTCTCTCTGGTTTACTGAGGGGCCTCACATTTCAAATACCACCTGTACTGAAAAGGCACTCACAGATTTAAGTCCAGTTAAAGGCGAGAAAAATCTTATACATTTCAACCCCCGAAAGGTAGTTAGGACCATTTTGCTACACTACTAGAGAACTTAAAAGTATTTTCTCAAGTTCACATCAGTACTTTCAGAAGTCTCGCTCTGGATTTGCCTGATTGTGAAAACCGATTTCCAATCTTGATATTCCTTTTCACAGTAAGTTTGCATTTAGGTATCAATTCATTTATCATAGTAATTAAAAGACATGGAGTTACTGTCCTCTGCTTTTCAAAGTTCTGAGGTCACAGTTTACTCTGGCGACCATGTGGGACCTCTAGAACCAGGAAGAATACAGCCTTCTTTCCTATGAGATTTCTGAGGCTTCAGAAAGGAGAAAACAGCTTTAAGTCTCCCCAGATTCTGACCCGCAATTCTTTATAAGACTCCAAATGACAAGTCTCATCAGAAACACTCAACATGGTCTTCAACTCTCCGGCAGATCAGCTAACACTTACCACAGAGCCAGACACTTAGTAGGACCAAGAACGCTGGGTCATCTCTGGCCCACTGATCCTTTGTCTGTTTTCGATAATGAAAGTTCCTATAAACCCTCTGCGGGGAAGTGAACAGGTAGAGCATCTGCCAGGCAGCAAACTCAAAGTCCATCTGCCGAAAACGAAAAAGCCTTCGCAGGTATTTGTAGCGCTTTGCTCCAGCTGTGTGTCTTGCTGCGTCCCTGGAATTCAACGCCCCATTCCCCTGCATTGGGGAATTAACTGAAGTACTCGGTAACATCTTCCTGTGGAAGAAAAATAAAATCTTTTACAAGTAATCTTAAGAAAGTAGTGGCTACTAGCACCCCTCTTCTAAATTATATAGGAGAGAGGTCACATGACATTACCGGCCCAATCCTTGGGGTCAAAGCAAATGCAGGTGTTTCTTAGGTTTGTTTGGAGGCTCCGTAACTGCTGACTGCACTTAAGGGAAGGGCGGCGCCACGTCTTTCTGACACATCACAGTGTCTGTCTGTCTGTCTCTGTCTCTGTCTCTGTCTCTGTCCCAAACCTCGCCTCCCTTGAGGTGGGGCGAGGGAGGTGGGGCGGGGGAAGAGGCCAGGGGAGGAGGAGGGGGATAGGGAGGTTCGGACGCGGGAGAGGTGTTAAGTATCAGGCTTTTAAGGGAAAGCCTTTTTAGGCCAATTAGACACCTGTTCCCAACAAGGTAAAATAAATGACCTATTCACACAGGTGAACGGTTCATCAGCGCTCTACCATCAGCAACTCGTTCGCTAGAAGGTGATATAAAAACAAAGCAAAACCCAAATCCAGTGTTCTACTCCCTGAAGAGTGCACCAGGGGAACCGCACCGCGGGCGACCAGTGAGAAGCCAGGTGAGCGCAGCTCACAGTGCGACACCCACGCCCCCGTCTCTGCTGCCCAGGCCTTCGGGACGCCAGCAGCACCTCATGTAGCAAATGAAAACACACGACGCCCAGTCACATCGGAATCTCAGATACAGAATGCTTTTCAGTATGAGCACGTCCGAAACACTTTGAGACACACTCATACTAAACATTACCCGTTGTTTATCTGAAATTCGACTGTAGCCGTAGCCGGACGTCCTAGATTTTACCCAGCAACCCCACCGCAGGCCGAGCACGTAATTCCAGGGCCGAGGGACGTCGGGTCGCAGGTGGCCGGAAGAAGCGGCACCGGCGAGCGCTCCTCAGGCCTCACCTGCAGCCTCGCTGCGGCCTCCACCGGTTCCCAGCTAGACCGCCACCTCCGCCGGCAGCCGAGCCCCGCAGCTGCTGGGCCCACTTCCCTTCTCGCAACGCAGACAGCGCCGAGGCGCGACGCCTGACGTAAGCCCACTTCCGCCGCGCACGGCCTCTAGGGACTTGTAGTCCGCGAGAGCCCGCTGGAAGTTGTTGCCGGTTTCCGGTCCCTTCCGCCGCGGGCGTCGCTGGCCCGCAGCTGGGTCCAGGCGGTTGCGGACTGAAGCGTTTGGGGCCGTGGCGCCGGGAGGCGCAACCATGCCCCGGTATTACGAGGACAAGCCGGAGGGCGGCGCGTGCGCGGGCGTGAAAGAGGACCTGGGCGCATGTTTGTTGCAGTCGGACTGTGTGCTCCAGGTAGCGCGGCTGGCCGGGCGCTCGGGCTGATGCCGACGCCGAAACGGGGAGGCGGGGCCGGCGAGGGTGTCCTGGGCGGCCCGCCGTGGCGGTCAGGATGCGTGGCTCTGAGCCGTGCTGGGTGCAGTTCATAGCTCTCAGTTAATAAACTTGGGCTTCCCACTGTCGCAGCCTCCGTTCCTCCGGTGTGAAATTGGAGATACGCCCCGTTACGTTTTTGTAAAGATTAAACCATTTTGGTTCAAGAAACGTTGAGTGCTGCCACTCTGCTAGGTTCTTGGTGCTTTTTCCAGTGACAGAGGGCAATCAGTTGTGTGCAGTTGGATTTATAATTTCAGAAAGTTGCTCTTATTTCAAGGAAGGCAACTATCTGCAAATGGACATCCACCGTAAGTGATGTTCACTGATTTTAATGGTCAGCCAGACTGGGCACCTAGAGTCTAGTAAAACTTCTGAGTTATGAATTTAAGTTATCTAGTCCAGTTTTCTTACACAAATGAAGAAACTGAGATACTCTGTCTTCAGGCTCCCCTGTTCAAGGCTGTTTCCAGTCTACTGCTTCACCAGCTCCTAATGCCTGTTAAGTAGCAGGCCTGAGGCCAGGTAGTGAGGACACAAAGATCAATCAATTACAGTCACTACCTACATTACGCTTGGTCTGATGGGAGGAATAGATATTAAGGGGCTAAATTCCTGTGATAAGGGCTAGATGAGCATTTAGTACATGTTTGTTGAATAGGAGCAAAATGCCTTGGGAGCCCAGTGGAGAAAGCACCTTATTTTGCTTGAGAATTTGGAAATTTTGCCCAGAGGTGACATTTAGGCAGAGTCTTAAAGGTTGAGTAGTAGTCTATCAAGTAAGGAGTACAGAGTTGTGATGGTAGTGGCGGGGAGGGATCTGGAAGAATAGCCAGTGCAGAGTCGGGTGTTTGGGAGGGTCTGGAGAAGCTAGTGTGTTTTGGGCCTGGAGGATGGTGAATGTGACAGGATGGTTGCCATGTGTGCAGGCACATGTGTGTCAGAGTGGGGAGCTTGGATTTTATCCTGACATTTCAGCATCAGGTGGGCCATAGAGATAAGCGGTTGAGAATAAAATACATAGAGTAGGACTGAGGAAAGAAACTTAGGAAGTGGAGGGGATACTGGTGGCAGGGAGAAAATCCAGTTGGTTTCTGCAATGATTGAATCATTTATTTAGCAAACATTTGAGTGCCAAACTCTAATTCAGCGTACAGATGGATGGGACACTTTTGCTCCTTTGTAGAAATTGCATCTCTGGAAAGTAGATTTAAATTGTGAAACATACTTTCTGTAGATGTTTCCATGTGCCCAGTATACTTAAGTGTAGTGCCAGATGGGTGCTAGAGTAATCGGGGGATCACTTTATAAATTATATAAATGTCTAACCATTGTGCTATATACCTGAAACTAATAAAAAAGTTTTTTAAAAAATGAATCATGAAATACACTTTGTATATGCTTCCATGTGCCCAATATATTTAAGTGCCTTTGTGTTAAATTTATGGCACATTTGTTTAAATATTTTAAGATAACGAAGAGGTAGTATTAGGACTTCTATTCCATGTTTACCTTGAAAAATACTAAATTTAGCTTTTACCTAGTTTTGCAGCTGTTACTTCATCAAGTCTCACTTTTAATAGTTATAGTTTTTAAAAAGTCTTATTAAGAGTCAGAAGTAAGCATTTCTTGTAGCAGTATGCTGCCTTGATTGCAGAAATGGGGGGGATAATAAATCCAGTTTTCTTCATAACCTTTTGAGCTTCCACTGCTTAAAGATGAATTAACTTCACATCAGGCCCAGGCAGATCTCATACAAGTATGTGTCCATTCTGTTCCCTTTCCTCTTCCAGTTCTTACTCAGTTGAGCTTCTCAGAATAGAGAACTTGACTGTGGGGGACAAGGAATGGGAAAATGTGGAGATGTGTTGTCACTAAAATGACTTGCATTAAAAGGATGTAAGTGGAGCCTTTAGAGCCACCTGATACTGCCTTCCAGAACACGCCCTCCTGTTCACCTTATGCCTGATCTCTCATACACACCTGTACATGCTGTCCCCTCTCCCCCCGATATACTTCTGTCTTCAGGAGTTCTTGAGTATAAACATTTTACGAACACTGAAGAAACCATTATCACTTTCACCTTAACTCTATCTTACCCATTAGGAGCCGAAGATACTGGTTTCTAGATTTTTTATATAAACATTTTAAAGAAAAGTATCTTGTGGAAACCAATGTTAAGAACTCAGGAGTACCTTAAAGTGCCCCAAATTTGTTTACACATTTTTTTCATTATGTCTTCTTAAGCACCAATAGTCAAATGCATTACAAACTATTTTTATATGATTTACTATTTTCTTCTTTTGCCTTTTAAAAAAGAACTATTTTCAGAAGAATGGTTATTGTGTACTTTCTGAGAAAATTTCCCAGGTGTTTATATTGTTTTATGTGTCACAGGAAGGAAAATCCCCTCGGCAGTGTCTAAAGGAAGGAAACTGCAAAGCTTTGAAATATTCATTTTTTGAATGTAAAAGATCAATGGTAAGTAGGTAAAGATTTTTTAAAAACTTATGCTAAAAAATAGCTATGTGTAGTTAAATATATGAATGACTTAGTAATTATAAATAGGTCGCAGTGGTCATTTGGAAAAAAGGATGTAGATAACATTTCTTACTCCAGTGGGTAATGTTAGGTAGCAGTCGTGAAAACCCCACAGCTGGTGGTTCTGTTATTCTGCCACTATGCTAACCACAGCCGCTGATCTGCACAAATTTCTAAAAGTACAAGAATGAAGTCCTGGCAAGTATAATAATATATAACAATGATTCACTATTAGTTCTCCAAGTCATAGGGTCATGTCATAATGATGCAACTTCAGTTATACACGCTTGGCAAAAACCTGAAATAATTTAAATTGTGCTGAGAATTTCACTTAGTTGTTCAGACAATGATATATAACAGCTAAGATGAGATGGGCAGTTCACATCAGCTGTTCTCTCATAGTATCTGCATCTCATCATCCTGATTATGATTCCCATGTCTAAAGGTTAATTTTTTTAAAACATGGTTTTTAGCTTCGTGTAGTGATCAAATGAAGAAATGGCCGTCTGCCCCACACTGGCTGAGCTGGACTCATTAATAAGGTCTTTCTCTAAAGTAATTTCTGTAGAATTTCTTGGAACTGATACTGACTTCTATGCAAATTTGTCCACTCTCCCCACCCGCCCCCCAACCCTTCAGAAGAAGCTGCACTATGAGGCTTAATATTTTCATCCTAAGACTAGGTAATTTAAACATTTTAAATTCCCAATGGCTACAGGTTACTATTTTTCAGGCTCCTCCTTCTTTTCTCAGTTGCTATTTAAAGATTTCAAATACATTTGAATATTAACCCAATTAAACTTAATTAGAAAGTTGTTTGCTAGAAGAACAACATATTGAGTATAGTTCAGAGAAAAAGGTAAATGTAATTTGGATTCTACTTAAGAAAACCTTTATTGTGACCTTAAGTAGAACTTGTGTTTTTAATGCCATCTTTTATTTTTGATTGTGCTGGAAACTGGTTTACTTCTCTCACATCATGGCACTCTCTCCCAAAGTTGTGTTTGATTAATTATGTTGTATAAAATTTGATCTAATTATACATTTATTTTTCAGTTGGATGCCAGATCAAGATTCAGAGGAAGAAAAGGATATTGATTGGAACCAAGATGAAAACAACAAAAGATTTTCTCTGGTCATTAAAACAGAAAAGCCAAAATAGGAAACGTACTTTCTCTTACATCTCTTTGATCAAACCACTTTTCTCCCATGGAACACCGTGGAAATGGATGACTTCTGGTTTTGACCGTGTATAAAGTAAATGATTCTCTTGCCCCAAGTTATTTTTAAAATTTTAGAAATTTTTAGAAGAAAAATTTAATTGACCAGTTATGAGCTGGAAGCATAGTAAATGTGTTTTGAGAATTGTTCTGAAACCCAAGAATGGAGAGGTAGTTATTTTCAAGCTTGACTCCTCATCCCGATGACACAAGTCAGTGACTATTACGTCCTTTGTGACTATTACACAGGCCACCGATGTCGACCTTTGGAGAAGTGTCTATTCATGTTCTTTGCCCATTTTAAATAGAGTTGTTTGCTCTTTTGTTGTTGAGTTCTAGGACTTCGTACATTCTGGATGTTAACTGCTTATCAGGTATATGATTTGCAAACATTATCTCCCATTTCTTTCACTCTGTGTTCTTTGATGCACAGTTTTAAGTTTTGATGTAGTCCTGTTAATCTGCTTTTACTTTTGTTGCCTGTGCTTTTGGTGTCATATCCAAGAAATTACTGCCCAATTCAATGAAGCTCTTCCCTTATGCTTTGAGGAATTTTTATTTTTAGGTGTTTGATCTAGTTTGGGTTGATTATGTATGGGGTGTCAAGTAAGGTCTAATTTCATTCTTTTGCATATGGATATCCAGAGTTTCCAACATCATTCATTGAAAAGACTGTCCTTTCCTCTTTGAATGGTCTTGGCACCCTTGTCGAAATCATTTGACCATGTATGCCGGAGGTTTATTTCTGGGCTGTGTATTCTATTCCATTGCCTGTCTTTATGCCAGTGCCACCCTGTTTTGATTACTGTAGCTTTGTAATAAGTTTCAAAATCAGGATGGGTGAGACCTCCCACTTTGTTATTTTTCAAGATTTTTTTTTGGCTTTTGGGCGTTACTTGAGATTCCAAATGAATTTTAGAATGGATTTTTCTATTTCTGCAGAAAACACCATTGGGATTTTGATAGAGAGTGCACTGAATCTGTAGATCACTTTGGAGAGTGCTAGCAGCCTAGCAGCCTAGCAGCCTAGCAGCCTTTCTGAATCTAGCCCGTTTACACAGGTGTCTTTCTATCTGTAGGTATCTTTAACGTCTTTCAGAAACATTATGTGGTCTTCAGTATATAAGACTTTTGCCTCCTTGGTTAGGAGTATGCCTAAGTAGCTCATTCTTTTTTATGTGATTGTAAATGGAATTGTTTTCTTAATTTTTTTTTTCAAGTTCACTGGATGATAGGTTAACTTTTATTTTGAAATGTAACATACAGACAAGCACATAGGATGTCTTTATAATGTTAACTAATAACAATGAGATATGTCATCGTGAACTGCTATCCAGGCCAGCAGAGCATTGAGTGAGCCCCTGCAGGTGACTTTTCTCAGACACCTCCTGGACATCCTCAAGAGAACACTACCGCCCTGGTGTTTGTCACACTCTGCTCTTAAGTTTACCTTCTCCTGTGAGCCTGTTGAGTTTGGTTCCTTATGTCCTTGTGATGTGTTTAGAATACAGTGGTCCCCCACCCCTTATCCATGGGGGATATGTTCCAAGACCCTCCAATGGATGCCTGAGACTGCATATAGTACCAGACCCCATAGATACTGTTTTTACCTCTACGTACATACTATGATAAAGTTTAATTTACAAGTTAGGCACAGTAAGAGACTGACAACAATAATGATAGGACAGTTATAACAGTACACTGTACTGAAAGTTATATGCATGTGGACTCTCAAAATACTGTGCTGGACGTACCCTCCTGTGATGTGTTGACCATGGGTACCTAAAACCATGGAAGATGAAACCTTGGGTTAGGTGGCAATTACTATAATGGATTATATAGAGAAAAGCAACGTGGTGTGGTGCTGAAATAGGAAAGATTTCAATTGAACAAAATCTTTTTGAGTTGCTCTTTTGCAGCAGGCATTTCACTTGGCTGTTGTGAATACAAAATAACCTGCTGGACAAAGCAAAAGGGTAAGTAACATGATGGACAGGAAATAATACATGATTATAATAAATTCAAGACTCAATGAGGGAAAATATTTTTCTAAAAGGGCCAATTCATTCTATGGAGGGAAGTTGCCACAGAGATGGAATTGCCTGAGATGGCCTTGGAGGAGGAATGAGAAGGCTGGGGGTGGTGGTCCAGATCAGAGTGGACATGGACACGGCCCAGGGCTGAGTTTGGATGGCGTTATGGGGTGGGCTGAAGAGACAGAGGTCTTAGTGGCAGGTGGCTGTCCTGGGGAAGGGAGATGAGCCCAGGCTGGAAGGTGGAGTCATTTATCAGGAAGGCTCAGCCAGCTGGGAGGAGGGGATGCATTGGAGACACCTGGCTAGAATGACTGGGCTGTGGCTGGGTGTGCAAGTGGACCTGGAGCACTTAGATGGACTAGGAATTTGAGTCAGTAGCAAGAAAGCAGTAACTAATTCCATGGGAATGGCTAGGACTTTTCAGGAAGAGCCTCTGAAGTGAGAAGACAGTGATGGACAGAACCTGGGGGCACCCCAGTGTTGGTGGGTGGAGGAAGACAAGCAGATCAGAGCAGGGATGATGATTAGAGGGAGGACAGCCAGGAGAGGGGCGACCACAGGAGCCCAGCGGGGAGGAATTGATGAAGTGCTATGTCCCCATGTGCATCTCCAGTCTAGATGTCTTCTTCCTCACTGGAGACAAGCTTCTCCTCCAACCCATCCCAGCTTTTTTTTTTTTTTTTTCTTTTTGGTATGTTAAATGGTATAACAGTGACCTCACAATAAAGGTCTATATTTGAAAGCAGACTTGCCTGCACTGGCCGTAAAGGCCCACTGGGAGCCCAGTGCAGGAAGGAATCATGGGAATGGTGGTGCCAAGACAGAAAGGGGTCTGAAAGGGCCATTCTTAGCCACGCTCAGGGGTTGGCATCAGAGCTCAGGCAGTGGCAGTTGTAATAAAAATAAGGTTATGGCCATTTGCCAAATCAGTGCAGAATGGAGATGGGCATTCTACCCAGGGTGGCACAGGCAAGCACAGCCCCTTGTCACGTGCACAGTGCCACACCCATGTCACAGACAAGGACAGGTGCCCTAATTGTGTCACCTTCAGTGGTGAGGCCAGGACTTGTTTTCGGAACAAGCATCAGACAAGTTCTCTTTACCCCCTACCATGAATAAAATCACAATACAACTGACAAATAGGTTTAAAAACAATGGCAACATATGACAGGGAGGTCAATATATTGTATATTAAAAACAACTCACAAAAAAGACCAACACCATTGGAGTCACAAAAGTAGAAATACAAGGATGAAAGATGTTCAGTTTTCACTAATCAAGTGGATTGAAACAAGGTGCTATTTTTAGCACTGATGAGAATAAAAGAAAGTGGCACGTACTAAAGGTGGCAGCTTAACCTAGGAGAACTTTGGTGATGCAGACAGACCCCCTTTCATTGTACTTTGTAGGTACTGCTTTTTTTACGAGTCAAAGGAAAAACCCTCCACTTGCAAAAAGATAACAGAAGGCTCAGATGACAGCATTTTTTAGTAATGAAGTAATTTTCAATTAAGATACACCCATTGTGTTTTACACATGCTACTGCACCCTTAATGAACTACAGTGCAATATGAACTTGGATGCACTGAGAAACCAAAAATTTGTGTGACTCGCTTTGTCAAAAGATTCACTTTATCGTGGTGGTCTGGAACTGAACCCGCAATATCACCGAGATCTGCCTGTATGAAAAATTCAAAAATTTAAAAAAAGATTTATGTTATCCTTTAATTGTACATTTCTACTGCCAGGAATTATTCCAAGGGAAATTGCTGGGTACACGTGCCTAGAAAAAGGTGCAAGATGTAGTCCTGGTTATAACACAATCAAACCGTTAATGGAACAACATTTTAGCAAGTTTTAGAGCAGGCGGCCAGGCAACCCACAGAGAAGATGTGATCCATGTTTACAGCCACGGGACAGTAACAACAGCAGCTAACATGAACATTTAAAGCCAGAGCACCTCACAACTGCCTTGGGAAGAATGTTCCATTGTGCGTGCCTACACTGTCTGCACGAGGAAACGAAGCCTTAAGAGGGCAGCGGCTTGACCATGGTCACCAGCCAGGGACGGGGCCTGGATCTGTCTGAAGCAGACATCCGTGCTCTCAATCCCATACCCGCTGCCCCTCTGCTTTAAATTAAGTGAAAGCGGGTCCTATAACAGAAGTCTATCATGGTCCCAAGTTTACAAACACCCAAGCACTCAACATTGCCCACCGATGACCATCCAGTCAGATGCCAGCCACAGAACCAGTCCTGAGGCAACAGAATGAATCAGGCAAAGCCAAGTTTAATATTCTGGTCAGTTATTTATTATTTGTCCTTCTAGAGACTAGCACATTTACAGCATACATGGCTTTGAATGAGCTAAGAATATATAAAACAGTAACTACATGTTTATACATATATTAATACTGCCCCAAACAAATAAATAAAAGTACCTTAATGGACTAGGCTTGGCAGATACAACTGCGTGAGGATGAAACTGTATCATACAACATTTGTACATTTTCAAGGAAACCAACGGCAGCTGGACTGCAGGTGCTTTGACAGGACCCACAGTGCGCCCTGGTTTCCAGTCTGCCTCAACGTTTCTTATGCACTGGGGGCCTTATAAGGAACCCTGGACGGAACCTCTATTTGTGGTGACCTGTAAAACTGCCTTCCTTGTACAACCAAAAACTCAAAGCTCCCACATGAGCTGTGGAGCCACCACGACCATTCGCCTCGCTCAGCAGGCGTGGTGATGTGTGATGTGGTGAGACTTGTCACACAGGAGCCCAGCAATACTCAGAACACTGAAACCTGAATATTTTCTATACGATTAGCCAAGTCTTAGAGTTTTATGGTGATCCATACTATAAAGCCAAAATTGGGAACATAATTCACATAAAGTTGCCACATGCAAAATTGCTGACGGTTGGGTCAACATTTGCTAAATTCCCTTTCAATAAATGCCAGCATTTAATGGTCTTTAGACCAAAAAAAAAAAAAATTCTGAAAACAATATGGGTGACATTTAAAAAGACAAGGGGATATTTTAAAAAGTAGTGATGTTAAAATGAGAAAAGATGGAAATATAAAAGATAGTAGAAAAATTACAAATTAAATGAAACGGTGGAGAGGTGAAAGGCTAAATCAGCCACACTGGAAACTGTCTTTGAACAGGGACTGGCAAAAAGAGAACCCACCACCAGCTGCCGCCACCTCCTCAGGGGGTTTGCTGGACATGACTTCTCTGCTGCCACCCTCCACAGTGACCACAGTGAACCAAACTGTGACAGAGAGTGAGCTGCAACTGAGCCTCACAGATGCACCCTCCACACCAGCTCACACTTGACCAGTGGGGACTGCCCCATGGGGCCTAGGAGACAGCAGACTCAGTCTGTGCACTGACTTCCAAGTAGGAAGGGCCTGGAAGGTTAGCCAGTTCCACTCTCACCTGCTGCTCACCCCTCTGTGTCTCTGCCATGGAGTGGTCTTGCCTGTGCCTCAGCAACCCAGACCCAAATTTGGTACGTTTCCAAGTAGCACTTCTAAAGGAGCCTGAAGAATAACACCCAGAATTTTAGACATGGGAATTTCCTAAGGGTTCACCAGTCAGGATCAGCGTCATGAATAGACGCCACATAGATTTCTTTTACAGCCTTTTAAATAACATGTAAACATCATCATCATGATAAACAGAATTGATAAAACATATCAACCAAAAAAAAACAAAAAAACAAAACTCTGCTATGTGCAGATAAGACTCGTCACCTTATAATAGATGACCAGACAGTTTTCTATGAAATCCCTAAGTTTTATGGCCCACTAATCTCTTTCAAAATCTCATTTTAGGAGCTAAATTAAACTTTCTCAATAGTCACCTTACAGAGAAAAATGAGAATCTTAACAATTATTGCAAACTTAAAGTTACTTTCATCAGACATTCAAACGTGATTGCATTATCTTTCAGAATACGACAGGCCGGGAAGCCCACAGAAGGACATCTGTTCTGAGGAGGTTTAGGGTTCCATCACCTCCATGGGCAAACCTCAACAGTGAGGTCCTGGAGGACCCTAACTTAATGTCCAGAGAGGAGGAGGTGCGCCCTGGGGCAGGTGGGACTAGACCTGGAGCTTAAGAGGACAGGAGGCACCTTGCTCTGTGACTAAGGGTCCAAAGTGGCCCCCATTGGGTGGGTAGCTTTGCAGGTGTTATCTTCTAATAAAGTCTTATCTCGGGCTGATTTTTTAACCCTTCCTTCAACTTCTGGCATCACCTGTGCTGTCACAGATAATTCACTAGGACCACCTGCTTTTACTGCATGAGACAGAGCTGGCTTCTTTCCCCAAAACTTGAGTTAACATTTAACATTTATTGGTCTGTTCAGGATGCAATTGTTTATTTACTGTTTTACACTAAGATTTTTAAAAAGTAGATTGTAATTCAATGCTCAATCCTGAGTTACTCAGTAGAAAAATAGGTTAGGTGAGCAACTGCCTAAGTGGGCATTTAAAAAAGTCTTCTAGCATTTCAGAGCAACCTAGCTCGATGCATACAGGTGACTCCCGATGCCATCTGTGCAGTTCTGTGTGCAGGCTGTTTCAATGAGCCATGGTTACCATCCACACTATTGAGACAAATGTCACCTCCTACTGGTCCCAACAGGGCAGGGGTGGGGGTGGGGGAGGACATGCTCCATAGAATCTTTAGTGAAATATTTTTAAAAACACAAAAATAAAAACCAATCCTTCAGGTCTTCTTGAAGAATTCATATATGACATTGAGGGTACCCACATTTGTTATGTGACAGCTAATTAGAGGAACCGCGTGTTCAAGTTTCAACCTTGCCGTAAGTCCCTTCGGGAGGCCTGTAATGCTTGGGGAAAGCCTTCAGCTGCAAGGAATTAAATGCATATTTGCGACTTCCAACATTCTTCATTGTATTTTCTCTTCGACAACCCTCACTGGGGAAAAAACAAGCACAAGAAATGACAGCAGTAAAAAAGGAAAAAAAGAAAAGACTTAAACTAAAATGAAATGAACTGATTATTCTCATAGCATTAAAAAAAAAAAAAAGGCTGATTGATTTAAATGGGCACCGGACCAGTTACAGCAACACACACGCAGAATGCTGGGTTTCTGCACAAGGCAGTTAAGAAGCACAGAGATGGACGCATGCTGTATGGGACTGCCAGTTTTGCATTTCCAAAAGCAGTGCTGTATCTAAGTGGAGGCGATATACATATATTTTTAAGTTAATGGTTTCATTTCATGTCTAGTCATTTGAGGGTCTGGCATAACTAGAGGTTCAAAGATTCTGTTACACGACGAATTAAAAGGAAAAAGAAATAGTGTGCTCTTACCCAAGCCCTTTAAAGAGCTGCATTTTTCTATGTCAGCAACAGCTGTCAATCACCTCAAACTCAACATGCTGGTGCTCCTTGCAGAATTCAGCATGTAGCAAAGCCATCTGGCTGAGAAGGCTGCTCTAACATTCCGTCTCCTAGGTGGATGCAAAGCAATCCAGTGGGCCCGGGCGATGGCTGCACCGTGGGTCTGCTTGGCCATCAGGGCTGGAGTGTAGTGAAAGAGCGACCCCACCGAGGTCTCCTGGTGGCAGCCAGACACCTTCTCCAGGTGGGCTGCCCTCATTGTGGTCACCTCTCAGAAGAGTGCCACTGAGCCCACCAGTGTCCTTCTCTAGAGAACCTGTGACAAGCAACATCCCCGCTGCATTTGAGGGAGGGCTGTCATGGCAACTCAGTAGGTAAAGCGAGTGCTGAGCTGAGGGACGAGGGGTCAGGTAGGTCTCAGGTCTCCAGATGAGAGCACCAGGGGAGTTCTCTGGGACATGTTCCCATACAGACAGTAAACTAGCAGGCAAAAGCAATTCTGAATACAAATGACTTCCTATAGCATAGTCTAACTTTATATTTTGTGTTATTCTAAGACTAGCAATTAAATCAACTAGTTATCAAATTTAGTACAAAATACCCCTTCCGAGATGGAAAGTTTGCAATTATCAAGAAACGTGATTTAAAAAAATTATTTCCAATCATACAAATACCATTATGACATGCATTTTAAAAAATATATCAGTGGCAAGTGCTCGAGCCTTTTAAAGTAAAAATGACAGTCTCATTTTGAATAACGTGTAAAATATTTTTGGTAAGATAGTGGTTTTATTCAAAAGATAAGCTCAGGTATTTCAGAAAAGTATCTACTAGCTTGTTATTAAGTAATTTTAGTAACTCAAATATGTTTCCTTGTCACCAGAGCCTGGAGCCCTCAGCAAGTTATGTGCTACCTGGGCTGAACGCCTAGGCCACACGAGCAAGGAGCCCTAAGAGTGAATAATGATCATGTCTGTCTCACACTCAATAATCAGATAAAAATGTAAATCCACTGAAAGCAGAAGCTCTAGGTTCTGTGCAGTTTGTCCTGTCTAATCTTTGGGAACTCTCACATTATTGGACTATTTGGATACAGCATCTTCATTTACACAAAAACATACAGTACACACTTATCAAAAACCCCCTATGACAGTAAATGCCAAATTGCTTTAAGGAGCAGAGAATAATCTTTGAATTTTGACATTATCTTTTATTTACATGTTAAAGAAGCTAATTACTGGTTTAACTGGCTGAATACACAATACAATGAATTATTCCTTTTTGAGGACATTCATCTTTTAAATGAATGGGGAGAGGAGGGCACACTGTCTGCAGTCAGAAGGGCCCCTTATGTGTGCATGGCCTCTGCCTGGCCTGGAGGTGGACTCAAGTACATGTCACCACTGTGAGGCGTCAGGAGTGCTTTACCCACAGTACTGACTGGGAAGTTGGGCGTGCCTGTGGTCCCCATCTTCAAACAAAGCAAACAAAAGATCTTAGAGAGTCAGTGTATGCACCTCAGTTTGAAGGAGGGTAAGTGGAGAACATACTTGTCAAAGCATCAGAGACTGGATAGGACTTAATCTAATAACCAGTGTCATATGCTACATACTTACCACCAGCAGTCAATGGCACTCAGAGAGATGTCAGGCGGTGTGCCACACAACAGCTACCTCACTTATTCTAGAAAAGATAGGGTGACCAAACTGCACTTGAGAGAAGACCGGATTCACTCACACGTGTGACACCTGTCCTAGGGCTTCTGCAGTGCTCTGGGGCATGTGACAGGGACAACTTTCAATTTAGGATTTGAAGCCTGAGTCTAGTTTTTGTCACTCACTGCTAACTGCTTCTCCGTTTCCCAGGACCTGGACTCAGATTTGACACCAAACCAGACAAATCCCCCAGCAAGTTCTGGAAGTCTTGGGGAGGGAACAGAGACACCAGTCTCTGCTGGGCTGGGTTTGTGCACATGCGAGGGTGTAAAGTTTCTGGAAAAGCCAGCTTCTCTAAATTCGCTCCAATTTTTCTAGACTGGTAAAAAAAAAAATTCCACTTTCATAATGTACAGAGTATAGGGAACCAGCTGGAGGTCACAAACAGATCACAAGAGAATCTGAACTGGAAGACAGAGAAGCCGCTGAGGGTCTGTGGATTTTCTCTCTAATTTGTTTCGTTACCTTTATAGGTGTACAACTACCCTTCTGCCAAGGTGAATGTCAAGGTTATAAATCATCCCATTTTATGGACAGTGCCTTGTTAAAATTAAGAGTGATAACACCAAGAAACCAAAGCAACTCTCTCTCACAGTTCCATCTAGCACAACTGCACCAAAGGTAGGCCTTATTTTTCGGTTATTTTTCTTTGACCTTCTTTTTTTCATTATTAACAACATTTGATTTGTAAGAGAGAAAAGACGTCTGGACTTTAATCTGAATTTAAAGATGCAATTTGTAAAATGAAAAATGCTATTTCAAGTAAAATAAATGTATTTAATGTTAAGAGCTTCTTGTTAACTATATGCATTAATTCCTGTAATCAGTTTAATCATCCTTAAAGATGTAAAAGAGTCAATCTAAAGTCACATGCAATATGTTATTTTTATGTGCCTGACTTAGTACAATGTGTTATTGTATCCACAGCTTTGTCATCTCAAATTGGAAATAATAAACATAAGCAGGGAAATGTTATGATTCTGCAAACTGTTTGCTACTGTCATTTAAGGGACTACGCTTTGAAATGAAAGCAGGAAGTACATGTCCTATTAAATAGGCTTATATAGGTGAGCCAGTTATAAAGCATCTATCATTTTCATTTCTCTTCAAAAGGAAAGGAAAGGTTAGCAGTACATTTAAAGAATAGTATCAAATATACAAATTCTTTTCAGACAGAATTCCTTTCTCTAGGAAACAGGGCACATGAAATATACAGGTAATAAGCAGCTTTACATCAGAAGGTAAGAGATTTGGTACAAGTGATTCCAGGGCAGCTGAACAACGCAGTACAGGGCATTGTAAGAACATGTCACAAGCACTGAAAACTATGGGAATTTAGACGAATAAGTCTTCATGGTGAAATAACTGGGCAGGTATTTAGAGTTCAAAACCACAAAGTGTCACACTGTAAGGCATGAAATATTTCTTGGCAGGCCACACTTTGACACATTCCTTCTGTCCAGTTAGGTACGCGGTGGCTGGACATACTCTGGCACTTTTGTTTTTCTTGTGACTTATTAATTTTTCATAGTGATATTCATTTGCAACGCAATTTGGTGACCAGGTATGCTATGCTGAGAAAGAGCCACACAATCAGTAAATTGGGGCTCAGCGCTAATAAAGGGATGGAACATAGGAGGCTGGGATCTAGCCTTAAGTCTCGGATGGGTACCAGGCCGCTCAAGTTCTTCTGGGTGACTACCTCCCGTGTTCCAATGCTGTGAAAAGGAAAACGTTTGGGAGAAAGGAAAAGAAAAAGGAAGTAAAGAAAAGAGAGAGAAACGTGCAATGGATTTTGTCAAAAGTATGGAAAAAAGAAGAAAACCAAGAGACAAAATTTAAAAAAAAAATAAATGGAATGAAGCCATAGAGAAAGAAAAGATGAAATGCAGAAAAGAATGTGAAAGGAAAACCAAAACAAAACCAGCACAATTACAAGAAAAAAAGGAGAGAAAGAGAAGTGAAAAATAAGAAAAAAATACTGTAGTCTACTGAACAAACACACAGGTAGGCTGACTAAATGGTTTTCCATGTTCGTGCTCTCGGCCGGCCAAGCGCACCGCCATGCCGCCCCGCCATGCTATCACATGCTGCAAAGACGTGGGTCTCAAACAGCAAGCTGAACATGAAGAACCACTGAGGGTTTGACCTTCTCACAGGTGCCTGAGCAGGGGCGGTGCGGCCAGCTCGCCAAAGCCGCCTCTT